GATAGTGTTGGGGGGAAAAAATTTAAACACTCTCACTGCAATAGACTCAATACTTGAAATGTGCAATTCACTTGTATTTTTATTTTTTATTCCTATTTATTCTATTTATCCCCTTTGTATATTTTATTTATATTTGTCTCTGTATTTATATATGTGTGTGTGTGTGTGTGTGTGTGTGTGTGTGTGTGTGTGTGTGTGTGTATATATATATAACAGTTCTGTAACTGTAACTTCGGTCGTTGCTGTGCTTTTTTTGGAAGTCGAATTTCCCAGAGGAACCCACCCGAGGGATTAATAAAGTTCTATCTTATCTTAACTTATCTTATCTGAGCATTTATTCATTTCTGATATTTATACATACAAAATAGAACTGTGGTTCAAAATTTGCACAAATACTTGTTATGAAGGAATTCTTCACAGGTTCAAAACTGATCCAAAGCATACTGTGAAGGCGTGAAATGGGATTGGTATGAAAACGTTACGATTATTCAATCAAATGCCTGTTTTGCTTGAATAGTAAAAAGATGATTCTATCATGTTGGTGAAACACTAGCTTACACTGCTCATGTAAGTAACAAAGTAAGGCTGCAAACAAATGAGCAAATGAGGTGAGCAGGCATGTCATTGTTAAAAATGAAACAGTTTGATACAACTTTTTATACTTTTTGCTTCTATATGTCTGGTGCAGCTGTCATGATTCGTATTCTTGTGGCGGTAGCTTATTGTGGTCGCATATGTCTCAACACAATGAGTATCTGCCAACATAACCAAATTGCAAGAGCAGCTCAAGTGTGTGGCAGAACAATGAAGAACTAGAGAGATGTGGTAGAACAAAACAAATCCTTTGACTGTCACCAGTATTGTCGTTGCAACCGTATCTTTTCAGTGCTTTGTAAGTAGAGTCGGAGCTGAAGCAGTCGAAGGAAAAGGATGAAATCATTTCATTTAATCTCGTTTCACAATCATCTTTTTTTTTTATCATAGCCAAGGGCAGCGTTAATTCCATTTTCCCCATGAATCGCTTCAAATTTCCAATAGCGTTATGGTGTTCGACTGTTAAACACTGATAGTAACCTTAATTACCTACCTCTCTAGACAACGTGGACCTGTGTGCTGTGTCATCTGTTCACACTGTAGATGTGCATGACCCCTAGAGGACTTGGAAGTGACCCTTATGTCAATAGTGGCACTGTAAGACTACCTAATGAGACATACATATACAGTGTGAGTATATATCTATATATATATCTATATATATATATATATCTATATATATATATATATATCTATATCTATATATCTATATCTATATATCTATATATATATATATATATATATAGATAGATAGATATATGCATAAAAGAGGAGAGCGCGTGATGTGGAATAATAAACATTATACCAGCTGAGTGTAGACCCAATTACTGTCTGTGTAGTAAATGATGCAGTTGTAGTAAGAGCTGATAAATGTACAGTGGTTTAAGCATTAGTTTAAAAGAGCATCCTATTGTTTATACAGATCATTCACAACTTGTGAAAGCTTGGTTCAGTCATATAATGGAACAAAAGTCAAGGTAAATGTGAATATTCATTTTGAATTTTAAAACAAAAAATATGCACGTTATATCTTTATCTCAAAGCTAAGACGCTGATGTATTCTAGACATCAGCATCTTAGCTTGTGTTTCGTATCGAAACATAACTCAAAATTCAGCTGAGTTTAACAGAAATGTGACTCGCGTGTCTAATTAACATAAAGGCATGAGATGAAATATAAAGGCATCACCCCAGTATTCTAAAATTCCACAGGAAGGGAATATACGTCTCTCCCATGACTCATCAGAATCTATACAGAAAGAAAAACACTGAAAAGCATCCACCTTGTGGCTGCTTCAGAGGAACAGTCATCTGATTGTAGGATACCACATCTGTGGAGCATCACAGTCAATCTTACTTACTTCACAGTCAATCTATCTACAGTATAGATGTTGTGATGTTTCAAGATGTGTGAATAATTTGATCTCGTGGTGGCACTGATGAAATGTCAAGAGATCATCAAAGTCAGTAAGTCAATAAGATTCATCTTTTTGGAAGGTTAGCTGTAGAGATATTCAGTCTGGTGTAAATAATAGTTTGGGACCAAACAACCAACTGATGATGACCAGTAACTGTTATTTACCTCTCTAGAAAGATCCCACAGGCACTATACAACACATCTGTTCTTATGACTATGAAATATGTGAGGAAACAGTGAGGAATTTGTGAGTAGCGTTAGCGGCTTATAATAAGTCAGCATTTATATGGACTGAACTGTAAGACCTCAATCTAAAGTACCGCCTGAAACATTTGTAAATGTAAG